GCGATCGGACGGGTTTCTTAGGCTCCGTCCTAACAAGAACAACCGATTAATCAAAGGAAAATATATTGTTCCCTTAAAGGTACCGGAAACTTAGCCTGATTATACTCGAGAGTGTCTGAAAACAAAGAGCTTAGCAAGCGAAGGTCTAGCACTGAACTCACACACCGTTTAAAGTGAAGTTACTTCACCGGAGGTGACAGTGACTTAAACAAAGCTGAAGGACCTAGCTGAAGAAGCGGTCTCAGGATATTGACAATCCTGGTGGAATCTATGCTACAAAGGAGATGCACGAGCGAATGCTCCAGGCAACCAATGTCTGCAACCATGCGGAACAGCAGACCAAAGATGGTGACAACTCTGGAGCATGTTACATTGTCGGTCAGAAGATTGCTGCGAAAATATAGCAGCGCACCGCCAACTCGTGTAGAACGATCACGTCTCAGCAGGGACATTCCAGGTAGGTGCATTTCAGAGTTCAGAGTACCGGCAGTCAATCAAGTTTCAGTAATCCCACTGACCAGTTTGGAGGCGCAGTTGTACCTCGGGGAATTTGTTAAGGAAGCCTTGTGCGTTTGTTCAAAAACATGCTAGGGAGTGTCGGTTTGGGAATCCGCTGGGTTTGTAATCGTTATTTATGCCGACTATTCTGCGGTCGGCTAGCAGCCCTGCTTGATGCACCCCATGCCATACTGGTTATTCTGTATATGTTTCAGAATCAGTTGGACGACGTTTCGAAAGAGCTGGTCACAGACAGTCATCAGCGTTGCAATCCTTACGAGCTAATCAAAAAAGGAATCTTCATGAATCGGTAAGCTGTCTGCAATTGATCTTGATATGCGTCTGCCGTTCTGAGTGAGTGGATCATTCCCTTTGTTTTCTTTATAGTCACTTCGTCAGTGTTGGTTCATCTTGCTTATTCCGGCTCCAGATTATTATATCAGGTTTATCTTAAAAGTTACTTAAAATAATTATCGTAGTGTAACATGTTCGTTCTTTTGCCCCGCATGTTTAGTAGTGTGTTTTAACGTAACGGTAATGTTTCAAGCTGGTGAGCACACCTTACGGGATTACTTGATTTCAGTTCCGGGACTCATTTTAAATTTAGACTGCTGGTTACCTGATCCTGTTTGTTTGCAATTGGATTAAAAAAAGCTAGTATACAGTAAGAAGTGACGGCTTCTTGGTGAAGGGAGTAAAAGCGTGCACGATTGTAAGATGCCTTTAAACAGAATGTGTACAGTACATTCAAATCGGAAATGAAGCAATAGGTATTGAATCCGATAAAAATTCTTCTACCGTTTTTGATGGGAGTTTGCGGAGGGGGTTCAGCATTCTTTGATAGAGTTTCACAACTTCTATCTTTTAAATTTCATTTGGAATGGTCTGCGAGTGATAGGATCGTGCGTCCGGTAGCGGGATACAGTAAGGTCAGCTTCACTGATCGCTGCCAAAATCACTATGCAGGGTAATAAGAGTGTGGACAGGGTTTGAACCTACTTAGAGGGTGAAAGAAAACTGTCGTCTATGATAAGCATGCTAAGTACTCGGCCCTACCGTGCAAACTTTTTCAAGTATTCTGGTTTGACATCAAGCGAAAGCAAGAATACTGCCAGTGTCGGTTCCCTGCTATCTCTTTCAGTGTATCCTACTAACCAGTCACGGAGCCTTTTGCCCTCCAGCCTGTTGGATGGGAGCCGCCTTTTCCACCTAAGCGCTTTGTGCATTTCTTCAAGCCTGGTGGTGGTGGCGCAGTGGTCGCTGCCACAGGCTTGCTTTGGACCCTGTGGTCCGAGGTTCGAGCCCCGCCACCCCCACCCAATTTTGGTAGTAGGCGGCTGTGTTTTCGTCCGGTTGAATACCACACCTAACCTATCCAAGCCTTATGTGGTTCACCATTCCAAGTCCCGGGGCTTAGATTACCGGTTTCCATCACTGAATAGCAGGTCCTCGTGACTATGGGACTTTCCCCGTCAGCTGGTCATCACACGACAGTGTGTAATAAAAACGTCATCCATTGACCTCCCCCACTTGATTTTCTCCAACTTGGAGCTGTAATCGCAAATAAAATGCGATGCTGTAGATGACTGTTAGGCATGCGCAAAAATTGTCCTACCTAATGAAGCCTATTAGACCAAATTCAATGTCTCGGCGAATTTTTCCTCCATACATTCTAATCAAATGTCGAATTACACTTAGGTTTGTAACCCCCTCACTCCATCCCAACTTGGCCAGACTACGTAAGCATCGATTGTCAAAAACCTCTAGCCGATGAATGTTTTCTGCTTGTAGATCCAAGGTCTCACAACCGTTGAGCATAACTGACCGAACGGTGGTACGATATACGTGAGCTTTTGAATTCCGTAAAACGTTACATCGTCGCCACACGCACTTCAGTCCTGCGTACGCTACTCGAGCCTTTGAAATGCGTGCGGTTACCTCTTCTACTGCTCTACCGTTATTTATCGTCCAAATACCTAAGTCGGAGAAGCAGTTAACTTCGACCAGTTCCTGATCACCTGATTTCAGAACCTGATTCTGAGACACCCAGTCTTGCAGCATCACTTTGCACTTTTAAAGTGCAAGGCACATGGTGATTGGAGTAATATAAATTTTTAGTCTGTCAAGTGCGCTTAGTGCATCCTTCATACTCTCGAGCAGCCAAACCATGTCGTCAGCTTACTCCAAATCACAGCTTTTCTGCAGGTACCTTTACAATACAGTCATCATTGAGACCGTCTAGTGCGTTCTCCAGAACATGAATCGCAAAATTAGACACCCTTAACCAATACCTTTCCTGGTTTCCAACGGTCTGCCTAATTCACCGTAGACCTAAAAGTGTGAGAGTACAGTGACCTCAAAATGTTCGCATACTTCTGGAGGGTCCCTTTTCGAAGAAGTCAACTCGGGGTTTGCGGTCTGCTGTATTAAAGGCTTCTTTCATGTTAAGGTACACTGCGACTGTTGGCTAACAATGTGCACGGCACAATCTGAAGGCTTTTCTTTTTTCAAGAGTATGCCTCATTTATCTACTGTGAACAGAATTATCAGTGAAAATGTCATCCATTTTTCCTTGGTTTACACGCTATCAAAAGGGATTTAAGGATATGACATTTGGCAAGTATACAAGGGTGATACCGAGTTACAACGCGTGGCAAAAGTAGAAAAGTGCAGCATGAAAATTTACATGAGATTTGGTATCAGAGTGAGATCAACATCAAGTCGGATTCCGGCTTGGCCGTGGATGTATTGATCAACTTTTTACGTTGCATCAGGTCCCTGATCTGCGTCGTACCCGCCGTCGATCAACGAACGCAGTGATCCTTTACCTGAAAGGAGCGTTCGAATCAGTTGACCGTGAAGCTCTGATGGGTTCCCTTCGAAAAGGAATGCCCCAGAATTACTTTGATTTACTGAGGTCACTGTACTCACATACCGCTGGTCGAGTGAGGGTTTACAACGAACTAAATAAGCCGTTCGTCACCAGCAGCGGCGTTCGTCATGGGTGCCTTCTTTCGCCGTTCCTGTTCAATTTCGTCGTAAACAAGATACTGGAGGCCGCACATAGTGGTTTCTAAAACGTAGGTATTGAATGGGTCGCTGGAGAAAAACTGTTATCTGGAGTACGCCGATGGCACTGTCTGTCTGTTGGAATGCACGGAGGACGCGCAAAGCGCACTTGATAGACTAACAAGTGTGGTTGCCACATACGGTATGTGCTTTGCACCTTCAAAGTGAAAAGTGATGCTGCAGAACTGGGTTTGGTCTACTCTCCCGCTCTGAAACTTAATGGCCAGGAATTAGTTATGGTGGATTACTTTTCCCACTTAGGTAGTTGCGTGACCAACGACGGAAGCGCAGCAGAGGAGATAACCGCCCGCATTTCCAAGACCCGAGCAGCATACGCAGGGCTGAAACACCTTTGGCATAAACGTGACGTTTCACTGAAGTTGAGAGGTCATGTATATTGTGCTAGCGTTCGTTCAGTTCTGCTTTATGGTTGTGAAACCCTGAATTTACGAGTTGAAGATATCCATCGATTATAAGTTTTCGATTATCAGTGTTTACATAGTTTATCCCACGTGGGATGGAGCGAACGGGTTACTAATCTGGAGGTAAGACGTCGTGTTTGAAAGTTCATCAGATATAAACCTGCTAGCACACCGAATTCAGATTAGTAGGCTTCGCTGGCTAGGGCACGTATTGCGTATGCCCAGCTGTCGTCTGTCGCACCGCGCTTTATTCGCTGTAGCTAATCCGGGGTGGAGGAAACCACGTGTAGGTCACTAGATGACGTGGAAACGAGTCATGAAGAAATGCACAGAGCCATTAGGTTGAGTAGGTGTCACGTGCCTTCCAGGTTGAGGTCCGAGAGAATCCACTACCGGTTGTTTGGAGACATTGAAGGATATGGCAGCGAACCGACAGCAGTGGCGCTCTTGTTGTCGTTTCTTATCAAGTCAGAATGCTTGAAGTGGTATGTATGCAGAGTTCGATTACGTACTCTGGGTTGACCATAGAGACTCACGTCCCTCCCTCAAAGTGGGTCTAATCCCTGTCCACCTAAAGTATTACCGCTATCCTTATATGCATTGC